GCTCAGGGACATCTGGGCACTTGTCCCCAAGGACAGCAGACACCTGATCCCATGCACCCCCCCCTTCCTAGGTGACTCCCATTCTCCCCTGAACACACTCTAATGGACACAAGGAACCACAGGGAGCTGGAAAGAGCACTAAACTACGAGTCAGAAAGTACACGGTCTAGTCCAGATCTGTTATCAACTCACTTTGTGACTAGTTAATCATCATCAGAGCAAAATGTGCTGTGAGATTACATGTTCAGTGTTATGCGAAACCCCCCACATGAGTGATCTTACTTAATTCTCACAATTTTATCCCCGTTTCTCAAAGAAAATGAGGAACAAAGAGGTTAAGTGACTGACCCAAAGGCACACAGCTGGCAAGTCGTAGAGCTGAGATTCAAACCAAGTGGTCTCTCTCCCGAGCCCAAAGCTCTTGATCATACTCTCCAGTCAGTTCCTCCTTGTAGGTCTCATCTGTAAGTTGACAGGATCAATATACTTGAACTTCAAAGGCCCTTCCAGCTCTGACAATCTGTGCCGTGTTCAACATTCACTGTATTGCCAGGCACTGGTCTGGGGATACAAAGATAAGTAAGGCTTCACCTCTGTCCTCAGGTTATAAACTCCTTGACAGTAGAAATCACATCTTGATTATCCTTGCCGGCCCCACACCACTTACCACAGTGCTGTGCAAAGAGAAGGTGTTCAAAATATTTGTTCACAAGACACGTGATTCATGGTGAGAAGCACGGCTTGTGGAGTCAGATATAACTGAAGTCCCATCCTGTCACTCTGCTTGCAAGAAAAAGTCACTTCACTTCTGTGTCTGTTTCTTCATCTAGTGGCCATACACAGTAGTCCTTCCTCACTGGGTTGTGGAGAGGATAATAATGTGTGTTGAGCACTTAGTATAGTGCCTGGCACATAAAAACTACTCAATAAATATTGCTTCCTTTCCTGCTTGGATTCTCCATCCTCCCCTTTGCCCTTGTCACTAGCAGGGAAGCGCCCTCTTTGTGAATCAATATCCATTGGGAGCAGGCAGCAAACTTGCTCAGCCTACTTGGGAGCAGCAAGGAAGGAGGAAAGCAGGGAGAAAGTTGGGTTCCTGGCTCCCTGAAAAACCCTTGCCTGGATTCTGATTCCCATGCAGCCCCTGATCCTAACTGATGCAGATGTCCCTTCTGTCTAGACAGATCTCCCCTGAAGAAATTGCAAACCACAGACTGTCGGATGACAAACCCTGCTCCAGACACTAATCCCCCGACACACGTTTCATTCAACCCTGTTCAAAGAAGGGCAAGCGTGACTCCCATAGAGTCTCCCACCTCTCAAGCAGAGGAGACTCTTTGGGATCTGGGTGGCTTCTTTCCTTAATTTACCCAGCCAGCCAACCAGCCAGCCCTCTTTGTTGCATGCCTACGGTGTGCCAGACCCAGTGCTAGGCATGGGGCATACCTAGGTGAATAAGCCCTCCCCTTCCAAAACCCATAATGTTGGGGGAGATGGACACAAAATAATTCTGAAAGGTATGGCATCCCAACTGCAATTATAGCCATAGGGAACACTCAGGGAGGGCTTACCGTGTACCAGGTACCGCACTGCATCCTTCACGTGAGCCAACTGAGGCTCATGGAACTGAGGTAACTTGTCCAGGGCTGCACAGCTACTAAGCTGTGAAATTTGGATTTAAACTCAATCTGATCACTGAGTCACACTTTTAACTCCCACTCTGCCATCAGAACTGCACGGGGACACACCACTTCTGTTCAAGAAGAATGGGAGGGAGGGGCACCTGGGTGGCTCAGACAGTTAAGTTCTGACTTTGGCTCAGTTCATGATCTCACAGTGTGAGTTTCAGCCCTACATTGGGGCCTGTACTGACAGCTCAGAGCCTGGAGCCTACTTTGGACTCTGTGTCCCCCTCTCTCTGTACCCCTCCCTTGCTCATTCTCTCTCTCTCTCTCTCTTGCTCTCGCTCTATTTCTCCCTCTCTCAAAAATAAAGGAGAAGAAGTGGAAGAAGAAGAAGAAGTGGAAGAAGAGGAAGAGGAATGGGAGGGACTCTCCAGAGAAGAGGTTTCAGAGCTAGGCCTTTAGGGGATGAGTCATGGTAAATCAAGGAGGTATGAAGAATTCTGGGAACAAGAGGGATTCTGACCCATGGAAATGAGGATCAGAACTCTTCATGTGGAAGGAAAGGTTACAGAAGGCAGGGTAGACAGAGTGGGAACAGATCGGGAAGAGCTTGGAATGCCAGAACTGGCAGTCGGGGCCTCTTCAGGAGGGATGGGAGGCACTCGAGGTCTCCACGAGGAATCCCCGTGTGTCAGGAAGCCCGCTCCTGTGCAGCATGGCCCACGGTTGGGGGCGGTGGGGGGAAGGAAGCTGTTCAGGGAAATGCTGCAGGTTTTCTAAGCGCGGGAGCAGGGATGGGGACTGTCTAGAGTTGTTGATGATGCCCATATGGGTATCAGAGGTCCAGCCCTGCCACTTCCTGACTCAGCCTTTCCCTGGCTCCCATGGCTCTCAGGATAAAGCCTGGGGCCTTCACCTGCCATTCAAGGCTCTTCAAGAGCTGCCTCCTTCCTGCTCCACCAGCCTCATCCTGACCACTTCTCCCTACTCTAGCAATATCTACCGATGTGCAGCTTCCCTAACCAAATTCTTTTCGTAGCGTCCATACCTTTACATGGGCCATTCTTTCTACCAGGAAACCTCTCGGCTCTCCTTCCCCTTCTTTGCTCAGATACCTGCTGCTCACCCTTCAGGCTCAATGCAGGGGTTGCCCTTCCCCCTCCAATCTCTCTCCCTGCCCCCATACACCCTGCTGTGTGTAATGGCATGTGGGTTTTCCCTCCTGGAATGTTAGCTTCCTGAGACTGGAGATTGAGCTTACTTAACACATCTGCTGGCCCAGGGTGAGAGCTGAGAGGCTGAAGGGAATCATCCCCAGTAGACCCAGACTTTTCCTTTTTTTTTTTCCTTTTTATTAAAAATTTTTTAAAATTTATGTTTATTTATTTTCGAGAGAGAGAGACCGAGTGCTCATGGGGGAGGGGCAGACAGAGGGAGACACAGAATCTGAAGCAGGCTCTGAGCTGTCAGCACAGAGCCCCACATGGGGTTCCAACTCACAAACCACGAGATCATGACCCCAGCTAAAGTTGGATGCCCAACCCCCTGAGCCACCCAGGCGCTCCAATCCAGCCTTTTCCTTAAGCCAACTTTCCAGTCATTTACCGTCACAGGCTGCTTTTGTTGTTAAATGTGTCGGCTTGTTAGAGCATGCTGTTTGTCTCTCTCTTCCCTCAGTGTCTCATCCCTGGTCAGGGCAGCTTCTGGGGCTGTCGGGGTCTTTTCACTGAAGACCCTCACCGGGTGTATTTACTCCATGTGGATTTCCCAACTGTAGGACCTCAGGCTGTGGCCCCAGAGGCAGCGCAGTTATTTCTGCTGTGTAGACAGGACCCCTTCTCCTCTAGGACGGTTTGTCTTGGGGCAGCAGCAGCAGCAGCAGCACCTATTTTGAGAAATGCCTACATTTGGCATTGTTCCCTCTTCCTATTTCCTAGTTGGGAAAAGAGCCCAGGACCTGAGTAGAGTGAAGGAGTCTGAGGTGTGGCTGCCGATAACTTCTATTCACCAGTGATTTACTTGCTGGAGATTTGCACTAAGACAAAAAGAACATTTGCATTATTAATGATCATTGATCACAGCCTTCCAAAAATTGAGAGGTTGAGAGTGATGGAGGCCCCTGGCCAATGATCGAATGGTAAACCAGGAGGGTGAGGTTGTGGAGAAGGGAGGGGAGGGCCAGGTGGGCAGGGAATTTGTGGAGACAGAGGACAGAGAAGGACGCTAGAAAGTCTAGAGAGGCTGCTGATGGTTCGGTGGGCCAGGTGTCAAAACGGTTGTGCGGGCTGTAAATAACCCGGCCGCAGTGCTGCTGGCCGCCCCTATACCCAGCTAAGGAGACTTCAGGACAAAAACTGTTGTCAGGGACAGAGTCACTTCATAGTGATAAAAGGGTCAATTCAAGAAGACAGAACAATCCTAATGGTGGATGGAGTACCTAGTAACAAGGCTTCAAAATACAAGAACAGAAGACAAAAAAGCCCAGAAGGAAATGGAAGGTCAGCTCCAGCTGGGCCGTGTGAAACCTGAACCCGAAAGGCCCCCAGCCTGTACCTCTTCAGCGGACAGTTCTGCTGGTTCTCAGGCCTTCTCTCCGCCCTGGTCGCCAGGGCAGATTCGTCTCAGCACAGGAGCGAGGGAGCCGCCGCTGCCTCTCTGACCTCAACTACCATTCCTTGAGCCCCTCCCGGGGCAGCCTCCGGGGCCGGGAAGGCCGGTTCCCCACATTTCCGCAGGGTCCACGCCCCACCTGCTGCCTCTGCTCAGATGCCACTCTCCCAGCGAAGCCACCACGTCTCTCTCTCCTCCCCCTGATTCATTTTCTGCCGTACCTTTTATTCTACATTTTCTGTTTTACTTATTACAGTCATGTAAGCTCCACTGGGTCCACTTCTGTTTTGTGCACTATGTCCCCAGTGCCTAGAACATGCCTGACACACAGATCACTAGATATTTGTTACATGGGGGGCGGGGGGAGAGACAGGGACGGAGGGGAGACGCCAGGCTTTCGGCCCGGGTCTCTGGGCGTGGCCCACCTCCCACCCGCCCACTGCGGACTCAGCCCACCCGCTCTCCCACAGGTGCAGCGCGGGGAGTAAGGGGCCAGCGGGTGGCGGCGGGGGCTGGAAGGGGGCAGAGCCTGCGGGCCGCGGGCGGGGGGCCGAGTGGGGAGCGAGCCTCGCGGGGGAGGAGCTGGGGGAGGGGAGCGAGGAGGAGCGGAGGGCGCGGTTAGGGGAGCGCCGAGCGGGAGCCGCAGGGCGCCCGCCGGGGCGGAGGGAGGTGGGACGGCGAGGGCGCGGGCCGGGCAGAGCCCCCGGGGGGCGGCGGGGCGGGCCGCGCCGGACGCTCGGCTGGGGTCGCGGCGGAGATGCGGCGGCCGCGGGCGGAGAGACGCGGCGCCAAGCGAAGAAGCAGGACCCGGGAGAGCCCGGGGTCCGCACCTGCGAGGCCGGGAGCGGGTAAGCGCTCTGAGCCGAGGGCCGCCCGGGGAGGGGCGCACCGGGGCCCTCGCGGCGGCCGGCCCGAGGGCGCTGGGGCAGGAACGGGGCGCCGCGCCTCGGGGTCTTGGTGACCCCGCGCGGCCCCCTTCTCCGCACCTACGGACGGGAAGCGCGCGCGCGGGGTAGATGGTCCCGGAGGGCGAGTCCGACCCGCGGGGAGCGTCTGGGGGGCGCCGTCCGGGACCCCGGGACGGAGTGTAGCCGAGACGGCGCCCGGAGGCGGTCGCGGGGTCCCAGGCGCTCGTTCGGGGTGCCCCGCGCCGGAACAAGATCTGGCGGGCCGGGGGGCGAGCTCTGGAGTCGGGGGCGGCGACGCCCCCGCGTGGCCCGCGGAGGCGGAGGGAAAATGGGCGCTGCCCCCTGCCGGCCGGGTCTGTGTGCGACGCAGCGCGGGGCCCGTCCTTTTTGGAGGGGAGTTGGGAGTGCCAGTGTGGAGCCTCGGTTTCCAGACCCCAAGCCCGGCAGGCCCTGACTTGCTTTGTGACCTTGGGCAGGTCACTGCATCTCTTCAGACTTAAGTTTGCACATCTGCACATCTTCTCCCATCCTGCAAGGTCCGTGGGACTGAAGGAGATGCTGTAAGGATGCCTTTTTATAAACTGTAAAGCTCTACCCAAATCCTAGCTAATCACGTAATGTCGGAACTGGAAGGGCACTAAGAAATCCGTTTTGCTGCAGATGGGGAGAGGGGAGAATAAATCTTGCCCAAGGTCGCATTGCCTATAAGAGAATTTAAGACTAAAGTCCCTTGCCTCACCAGCTCTGGGGAAGGTCAGAGATTAAGAGCAGGTGCTCTCCATCAGATTGTCTGTATTAGCAAACCGGGCTTTGGCTATTTACTAGCTGCCTGACCTTGGGAAAGCCCTGAACCTCTTGGAGCCACGGTTTTCTCCCATGTGAAATGGGTTAAGAATGCAGCCTTCCAGGCTTACTGGGCACATCAAATGTGGTCATTGCTCGGCACAGCACCTGGCCGCAAGCAACAGCTCAGACATTAGTGGAAGTAATTGCTCTGGTTAGTCAGAGTCCCCTCTCTGTCTCTTCCTTGGAACCAGCCTCCAGTGTTTTCTAATTGAGCCCACATCGCCACTGTGGGCTCCTCTCTGGACTGCAGAGCCACTGGCTGGGGTCTCAGCCTTCCTCACAAGGACATAGAGGGACACTTTACCGACAGTAGCAAGCAAGCCTCTTCAGCAGCTGGGCCTTCTCCAGCCTTTGGTCCTGTGCAGCAGCAAGTGAGGAGAAAAGTGGCATCCAGCTAGGATGCCAGCTAGAGGGTGACAGAAGGGAGGGGATGGCCAGCTGGACACGACTGGCAGGGCGTGGGGCCTCCTCCCCTCCCCATGGTGCCTAGTACAGGCCTGGAAATACAAAGGTGCTTTCTCAGAGTTTGTCAGTTACATGACGGATAAATAATGAGGGTGAATTTACAGGGTCATCCCTTCTCTCTGAGGCCCCAGATGGATGACAGTTCTTGGCGAAGTGATGTGACTATAAGCGGAAATACAGATCCTCAGAGCTGGGAGTTCCTGGGACCCGAGAGGTCCCTCTCACTGCAGATAGCTCCTGTCTGAGGTGCACAGAGGGGCAGGGGTCTGCCAAGGTCACCAGTCCCCTCCAGCAAGCTGAATTCTGCAGACACTGCTCAGTCTTTAACTTTCTCTATCAGCAGCAGACGACCCTGCCTCCCACTCTTTTCCTCTGGACACACTCTCTTCTGGCTCTTGCGATTTAACACTGTCATATTTTCCCTTTTTCATCTCTTGTTTTCGCAGGTTTATCTGCCTTTCTACAGCCATTAGCTGCTCTGCTCCCCCAGGCCCTCTGCTCTGCTCATACTAGACACTCTCCCTGGGTGATCTCATCCACCCTGTTGGCTTTAGTTACCACCTCTGTGCATGTGACTCATAAAAGTTTGTCTCTAGCTCAGATCTCTCCTCAGGCTGCAGACCCATCTAGGTATTGTCAGCCCCACGGTGTTCTAACCCCTGGGGATATAGCGATGAGCTAGACAGAAGGTGTGTTTTGGGAGTCGGTGGGGGTGGGAGGGAGACCTGCAATAGATGAACAGAAAACACCAGATAGGCGTGAGTGCTAAAAGAGCATAAAGCAGGGTGATATGATAGAGAAGAGAGCTCCTTGATACTGGCTGGTCAAAGCTTTGCCAAAGAGTTGATATGTAAGTGTGGGGTGGGCAGCCGGTAAGAGGTGAAGTCAGAGAGGTGGCTTGCGGGGCATGGAACGTAGGGCCTTGTAGGTCACAGTGAGGATTTCAGATTTTGTTCTGATACCGGAGCCGTCGGAGAGTTTCAAACTAGAGAGAGGGGATGCTAGTACTTCTCCAGAGCTCAGCTGAGCCTCACAAAGGAGTTCTTCTGTATTGATTGCCACAGTCACTGGAGTGCAGTGCGGAGGGAATAGGGAGCTTCTAGCAGTGTGGGGCGCAAACAGACCTGCTTAAAGGAGGGAGATGAAAGCTTCTGCTTCATCAGAAAAGGCTTCCTGGAGGAAGTGGCTTTTGAGAAGGGCCTCAGAGAACAGAGAGCACATTACATTAGGTAGGCATGAAGGAAAGATTGCTTTTCCAGGCAAAGGGCAATCAGCCCGAACCAAGACGCCCAAAATGTGTGTGGGGATGTTAAAGGAGAGGAGACAGTACCTGTAGGGGAGTAAGGTCAGACAAGGGAGGAAGTCTGGGCTGTTCGGAGCAAGGCCCTGGGTCTGGCCACTTAGGTGCTGTGTGACCTTGACCTGATTACATTACCTTGCTTAGCTTCAAAGGGCTCATCCTCAAAAGGGAAATGTGAGGGAAGAGAAGGGAGAGGGAGGATGCCAAGTGCTGGGGATGGGTGGGTGGGAACAGGATAGCGGCCACCAAGGAGGAAACAGAAGGGGCTGGTGTGGATGAGGAAGATGGTGGCTTCATTGAGTATGGGACCTTCCAAACTCCCATGAGTGGTGGAAGGAGTGGACAAGTTTCGGCAAAAAGGAGAGCATTGGATTTGATCCTGGGAGTGAAGTTGCAGTTGATGAGTGAATGAGGGGTGCCCCACACAGAGGGAACTGGGCTTCCCGACACTCACATACCACTCACCCCCCTCCAGAACTCAAGTCCAGTAGGGAGACAGGCAGTCAGGGCAAGTGAGCCCAGTGGGGTGGGGAGGAAGGAGTGATTAGCTCCACCTCTTGGGTCCAGAGAAACCTCCAGAAAGCATGGAGGAGATGGGAGGAAGGGCATTCCAGGTAGAGGGAATAGCCTAGACAAAGGCTCAGAGGAGTGAGAACCACAGAGTTTTTGCAGGAAGAGGTCCCAGCCACACCAGAGGTGGGGTCTCCTGCTGAGTGGAGGTGAACGAGAGGAGGAGAGGAAAGGGCTGGACTCTGAATGGGTCAGGCAACAGGAAGTGAATAAAAAGGACTCAGAACACAGGGAGGGAAAGGTTCTCTCAGTCCTGTGAATAGAGGTCACTTGCTGATTGTATCTGTTCTCCGGCGCTCAGCTCCAGAGCCACTTTCAGAGGGGCTCTCGGGGTGTGGCAGGTCCCTCCTACTTTCCCTGCGGCTCCCTTCATGCTCCGATGTCATCTCCATCATGTCTATGGACCCAGGTTCCAGGAGGGTGTTCCGGGGCGACCGCAAATCTTCCCAGGGTCCACATGTGTTGCTTATGCCAACACGTGGCAGGCTTTAAGTGGACAGCTATTAAATGGATCAGGAAATAGGCTCATAGAGGTTGAGAAGCTTGCCCCAAATCACAGAGCTAGGGAGTGGCAGAGCTGGGAAGCAAATTCAGCCTACCTGAGTCTGAAGCGTGTGCTCCCAACACAGCTGTATCGTGCCTCCCAGCTGGGCGAACAGATGGTGCCTAGCAGGTCTGGATCCTGTAAGCACTAACAAATTCAGTGTTTAATTTCTAGGAAATGAATTCCTGTTGTTCATATCTTGTTTATCCAGGCTGGAGAAGACAGCCTCTCGTTTGTCCTGGAAATGATTTCACTCCGTCGGCTCAGGTGCTCTCTGGGGACCCAGATGTGCAGTATGGGAGGTGGCAGGGGGAGCCCCAGGACCCTGGGATGCAGCCCTAAAGGTTTCTGGCAGAGCGTAGTCAGCCCCGCCAGGCTGCTCTGACAATTACGCCCCTAGTATGGAAACTCAGATGGAGGTGACTAGGAGATTTGAAAATGCCAAAAGCATATGGTGTGAAACGAGCACGAGAGCCACTAGATGCTTCTGTCCTGAGTCTCAAGTTCCTGCTGCAGATGGGAGGCAGTGGAAGTAGCACTGATGGGAATCTGACGACTTGATCTCTGCCTGTAACTCACTGTGTGCCCTTAGGCAAGTGTCTTACCCTCTCTGGGCCTTTCTCCCTATCAGCACCATGAGGGAGTTGGACTAGAGGATTCCTGAGTCCTTCCCGCTCTGACACTCAGATCCTCCTTAAATCCTAGAGCTGACATTGTTCTTGTTGCCTGCACAACTCATTGCGGTGCACGGAGCAGCAGCGTCACCTTGTCAGAAATGCAGAATCTCAAGATCTGGCCCCACAGAGTCAGAACCTGGACTTGTCATGAGATCCCCAGGGAGTGCGTGTGCTCCTTCTGGTGTGAGATGTGCAGCAGTGGCTGTTTCTGCCCTCTCTCTGAGCTGTGCTGAGAAGCCAGGCAGAGGGGTGCGTGCTGAAGGCTGACGGCAGAGCTCATTCCGGTGGGAGTGATGGAGCCTGGCATAGAACAGGTCCCCAGCAAAGAGTTTGTGAGTGTGTGCAGGCTTGTGTGGGGCTATTTGTGCAACGAAGGAGGGAGTGTAACTGACTCATTCACCTTTCCTGAGCGGTGGAGCATGGAGACAGCAAGCTGGGCTCCTATCCTAGATCTGCAGTCTCAGACAAGCCATTTCTCTGAGCCACAATTCTCTGCTCTGGGAAATGGGAATAATACCTATAAGACTGACTTCAGAAG